GGTTGGTGGCAGGCCGTAGCCAGGTGAAGTCAGTGAGGGGACCGGCCGTGCGCGGCTTTGTGCGCACGTTAAACTTTGGACTCTAAATTCTGCCATAGAATCGGAATTGCGCGATCGGAGGGTAGAGGGCAGGGTCATCGCAACAAGCTTCGCTTAGCGGTGGCTCTGTCCTTGTGAATCCTTCCCATCAAAAGGTTCGGACTAAATTTATAAAAAAAATGTACATTTATTTATTTTATTGTGCTATACGTATTACCTACCATTAGACTTACCAGTTTATCGAGCTTTTGCAACAAGAATGAGTATTCTTCCTTTTATAGACCACAGTAGATTCTTGACAATTCTAATTATAACCAAGCCTGTGAATTGTGTGAAATGCTGAGCTCCATGTGTTACCCCTACACTTAGCAATGGAACTTCTACCACAAAATGTATCTTGCAGTGGCTAATATTGCTGTTACTACAATTTGAGAGCCTCTTAGTGTCCAAAGTTTGAATCATTTGCTGATATTTTTTTTACACAAAATCAAAAATACCGGCATGCTACCGGCAAGACATGCCAGATACCACGAATAAACCTGCGGTAGTGAAAAATTACCGGCATGCCGGTAGTGCGGTAGGGAAATTTTGCAACTCTACAACCCACTTCCCAGTACTTTGCGCCCTTTCCATTACAAGTCAGGGAGAAAATTGAGAGGCGCCTCTTTCAGCTGATCGCTGTTCTAAACATTTTCAAACACCGAATTATAGGGGCATTCCACGTCAAATCGAACAAAAATCGGCTGTTTTGCACCTTACCATCAGCGATTTCATTATAAATTTGTGAGCGAGTTCCTGTGTGGCCCCGGACATTACATTGATGTTTTTTGCACATTCTGACCACAGGTCTTCTAAATATAGGGCATCGAATTTTTACAAAATGTTGCATCTTTATATTTTTGAACGACCATAACTTTGGTTGTACTTGTTTGATTTGAATGAAATAAACCTTACTGTTTTGGTAATGTTTTAAGCATCTGTTTAGAATCGCACCTACTTAAATATATGACCTTGAAATTTGCTTAACTCTGTTCTTAAGCACAAATATTGAAATAGCAAAAAACACGTCACCTTCGATTTGGCTCATTTTCATATATTTTATTGCCTACCATATTCTTAACAACCTGTGAAAAAATTAGAGTCGGCCATTCATAAGTTTTGAAGAAAATTGCACATATGCAAACTATGTTAGCACGCGCAGTGGAGGGGGAAGAGCGAATTTCGCCCACCCCTCCTGTTTTTCGCCAATATCTCATAAGATTAATGCGAAATCAATTATGGCTACCTGTCAAGAATTGAATTGGACATCTCGTCGTGCAAGCAATAAGAAAATCGGTTCACAACTGTTCTAGTAATAGCGGTGTAAAGTGAACATCCTGTCGCCGCAGCGACGCGGCGACTCGGCAGCCGGCGCCGACCGCTACGCGCCGCCTGAATTGTAGACTGTGCCGGGACGGAACGGAACGGTTCCGTCTTTACATCGCGCTCCCTACCGCTGATTACGTTCGATTCGCGTCAAATTTGGTGAGAAGACTAAGAAATGTACAGGCAATCTTATGATGAAAGAATTTTGAAAATCAGTTGGTAAACAATTGAAGTATGAACGTGTAAACACAAAATTGTGATTGCTGCGTTTCCCGCATCGGCCGAGCCCGCCTCAGCCGGCGACATGTTACTCTTAGCAGGCCTCTAACTGCCATATTTATTATTGGATTAACTAGAAATTCCCCATACATACTAAAAAATGTATGTTCTTTCGTATAGTGAAGATCAAAAGACGTGAAGATATCGTTGCGTGATAATGTTTTCGTTGAATTTACTTCATGATGCATTTCCACACGGCTCAAAATTCACCGCAAAATACCGTTTGCCTGAGACACTTTTACTATGGAACGTGAATGCTTGACTACGATGACTATGCATTTCCATTCTCGCAGAGTTTGGGATATCACTAATCAGCAATCATTCATTTCAGAAAGTGTACACAAGCAAGCAATGTCTTGACTCTGTCTTTCAAGGTCACGCGCGGTTGCGTGATGTTGATGCATGAAAACGGCGTTTGCCGCGAAAGTTATGAATGGCCCACTCCATTTTTTTCACAGATGGTTAGGAACATTGTGACGGACATAATATGTACAAATTACCCAAATCGAAGGTGACGTGTTTTTTGCTATTTAATTTTTTCTGTTTTAATTCAAGGTCAAATGCGTTTCAAGGTCACTTCAATTTAATTTTATAATTAAAAATCAAAGCCCTATCATTTGCCTATAAGACCCTGTTAATATCATTTTGATACCAGAAAAGGAACCAGAGTTATAGCCATTTAAAAAAAATTGATGTGTGGCATTTTTCGCTATATTCGATGACCTATATCTCAGCGATACGTTATCAAATTTCGAAAATATTATACGTAACTCAGTTTTGAACCATGCCCAGTCTGCCTACAAATTTTCAGAAAAATCGAAGGGGATGACGGATTTTGGTGTTTGATTTGACGTGGAATGCCCCTATAGGCAAACATGACACACTGAACCGGAAAATGGCACCCGTGACCCCTCTTTACATCCCTGAGGTCATCTCAGGTCTTGAAAGGCCACCAGCAGTTTTTTTTTACTGTAAATTTTGGTAGGGACGTGCTAGGGCGGTGAAACACGTCAGATGTGTTCAGCTCGACGGTACGGATCGACTGATATGCAACATGACCCTTTCCGGCCAGGGACCTTGACCTGAGGTCAAATTTTCAAAATGACCTTTCAAGGTCATGACGTACATATAGTTCATTCGACGCGTCTCGACGAGAGGAACACGAAGCTGGCAAAATCAATATCGTGACTCCCTTGATTCAAAAGTTATTACCGAAAAACATGTTTCGTGAAATTTTCTATTTTAGAGTTTTTGCCCTCTGGAGGCTATACCGTTGACTTGAGGTCAAAAATGAGGACAAAGGTCTGTAAAAGGGCTATCGAATGCGTTTTTCCGCGGCGCTGTAGCTCTTTTTGTTCCCGAGTTAACATTGTTGAAAAAGACAAGGTTTGACGTTTGATGGCCTCTGCCGCCCTCTGGTGACCTGACCTTTGACTTAACCTTGAAAATGACTGAAGTATTTCCCCCATTATTTTTGACGCTCTTTCGATTAACGCTTACTGCGTGCCGGTACGTGGCCCAGGAGCCGAGTTAGACGGGGGCGTGACCCCCCCCCCCCCCCTCAGCACGACACGGAAAACCCAGGCCACCAGCACGGCGCGGGTTGAGGTTTGAACGTTAACAACCACAAACAGAATACAGGGTGTCCCAAAAGTCTTGCAACATCCGTTTTCTGGATTGTTTACGTATTTACCGCTGATATAAATGCCATAACGGTGGTCTTTCTGTTGCCATGGGTAGAAGGCACTGTTACACACCCCGACCATTGGCGGATGCCGCCTCGGGGCGTGGCTGACCTTGACTGCGGCGACCGCTGGCCGACCCTGGGTCAGTCGCAGACATGAAGGTCGCCGGGCGGGTCTCGCGGCGAGAAGCTGTGCGCTCGCGCGCCATTGGATTACTGGAGGCAGGCGTGGCTCAGCGGGATGTCGCAGAACGGTTCGGAGTCAACCGGACTACTCTCTTTCGATGGTGGCGACGCCATTGCGAGGGTAAATCCCTGGCCGACATGGAGCGCTCCGGCCGACCAAGTACCATGTCCAAAGTCGCCAAGATCGTTTGCTCCAAAGCTGCAGGGAAAAGAGGACAGAGCGTGAGGAAATTAGCGATAAGGGTAATAAGAAAAGGTTATCCGATGTCCAAGTCAAGTGTACACCGGTTCATGACGCAAACAAAGCAATTTAGGCCATACAAGAGGCAAAAACAGCCAAAATTGAGCGAAAAACAGAAACTTGCAAGATTAGCGTTTTGTAAGAGAGTAGAAAAATGGAGTTTTGAAGAATTTAAGCATGTCATCTGGTCCGATGAGTCTGTATTCGAACTCCAGCAGAAGCCAAACCGGCAAAATGATCGAGTCTGGGCGAGGTCTGGCGATCAGGTGCCACGCGTGGAAACCGTCAAACAGCCCGCCAAGCTTATGGTATGGGGTGGAATGACCGCGCAGGGTCTTACTGAGCTCCACGTGGTGCCCCCAAAGCAGACGGTAAACACCGCGTACTACGTGACAGAAATCCTGGAGGGCTCACTTTTGCCAGCGGTCGAGCGTACAAGCAAAACTGGCGGCATTACAGAGAGGAAACTCATCGACCCAATGTCGCGGGCAATTTTTATGCAAGATGGTGCGCCAGCGCACAATGCCAAACGAAGCCAGGAATGGTGCGACGAGCATCTACCGGGGTTTTGGGCCAAAGGTGAATGGCCTGGAAACTCGCCAGACTTAAACCCAATCGAAAATCTGTGGGCGATTTTGAAGGAGAGCCTCAACCAGCAGGAGCCCTCCACAAGCCTCAGCCAGCTCGAGCGACGCCTGAAGAAGGCCTGGAGAGAAATCTCGACGGACACGCTGCGTAGCTTGGTCGCCAGCATGCCGTCACGCATCCAGAAGTGTGTCCGACGACGCGGTGATTATGTCGGCTGCTGAATACAAAAGTACATACAAAAGAACGTGTCTCAAACCAGACGACAGCGATGTTGCAAAACTTTTGGGACACCCTGTAGAAACGCTCCAATAATATGTGAGGTGACACGCCGAGTCGCGATTCCAGCTAAGCCTGGTCTCGAGAAACAGGTATGTCCAACTGTCCAGCGATCGCAACGGCTATTGACACACTGCCGCCCCACATAGGTGTTGCGTTGGATGCCGTTGTGGGCGCCGTTTCGCTAACGCATTGGCTAACACATGGGTACATACAGTATCGGTGCTGTAGGAGTAGTTGGTCTGTTCTCCAGCGGTCGACTGCCGACTGACTGTGGGTAGACGTGGCGGCGTGGGCGGCCCGGAGGCTGACCTCCCTCCCCTCCCCGTTTGTCTGTGTCAGGGACATGCTGCGCCTCTCGTCGGCAACCTACCGGAAGCAGGGCCGCCGGCCGACGGCCATCGACGACAAGATGCAGGCGCTGCTGCTGCGCTGCCAGGGCCTCATCTACCTGCGCCTCTTCCGACTGCGCGAGACAGAGCTCAGGCGGCTGCAGCGGCAGAACGCCGAGATGAAGGCGCAGGTGGGAGGTCGGCCGGCCGGGCCGCCGCCACCCGCGGGTCACTGGTGTGGGACCTCTGTCCCTCCCCGGTCACTGGTGGGACCTCTGCCCCCCTCCCCGGTCACTGGTGGGACCTCTACCTCCCCCCGGTCACTGGTGGGACCTCTACCCTCCCCCCGGTCACTGGTGGGACCTCTGCCCCTTTCCGGTCACTGGTGGGACCTCTACCCTCCCCCCGGTCACTGGTGGGACCTATGCCCCCCGGTCACTGGTGGGACTCTGTCGCTCCCCGGTCACTGGTGGGACTCTCTCCCTCCCTGGGTCACGGATTAGTTAGGGGAACTACTAGGTCGGTGATACCCCCGGGTTCACGGGGTGGGGTCCGGTGAAACCCTGAGTCACGGGTCAGTGGTACCCCTGGGTCACGGGTCAGTGGTACCCCTGAGTCACGGGGTGGGGTCCGGTGATACCCTGAGTCACGGGTCAGTGATACCCTGGGTCACGTCGGGTCAGCGGCCTGTCCCTCACCTGTCATTGGCGGGCGCTGATCGCGACTGGCTGATATGCTGAGCTGAGTGTGGTGACCTGTGTCGTATGTACGCTGTATAAGTGCGGTTTTCAGTGTTCGGTCTCTGTGTTCACCAGGTGGTGTGTTTGCCGGCAGAGCCTGTGTGAGCGACTGGCCGCTGACCCGAGCTGCGCCGTGCCAGTCGAGATGTTCCGCGCCCTGCTCTGGTGTAACGAGCAGTACACTCACCTGCAGAACTCGCTCGACTACTGGGAGCAGGCCGAGAGGCAACTGCAGGCAGCCCAGGAGACCGGTCAGTGTATACTATATACCATTTATACTACTGGGAGCAGGCCGAGAGGCAGCTGCAGGCAGCCCAGGAGACCGGTCAGTATGTATATACTATGTATATACCATATATACTACTGGGAGCAGGCCGAGAGGTAGCCAGGAGACCGGTCAGTATATACTTTATACCATATGTTTTTTTTTTCTAGAATATCTAAAAAAATGACTTGGGACACCTTATTATACATCTGTTTGCACTTGTTTTGAAAATTTCAGACAAATGTCATTCAAGGTCTGACCACCAGGTCAGTGACCTCACCTCAAAATAAGTTTCAATCCTTTTCATGGCTGCACCGAGTGATCGATCGCTTTGAAGCTTTCAGCATTGGATAAGGGCAACAATGTGTGTAAAATATATATCACATAATTTTTTATATCGGTGACCTAAGTTCAGGTCAATTTTGCGACATCTCCATTTCAAGTCAATGCAATGGGACAAAATTGAAAGGCGCGTTTTTTTGGAGAATGCTATTCTAAACACCCTCAAACATCGAGTTTTAAGTGAACATGACAAACTTAATTGGAAAATGGCACCCGTGACCCCTGCTTGTGCCCCAGCTGAGGACATCATCTCAGGTCACTAGAGGTACGCAACAGTTTTTCGCTGATAACTTTTGATAGAGGCATGCTAGAGCCATAAAAACGACTTAGATGTGTTCAGTTCGACGATACAGATCGACTGATTTGTAACACGACCTTTTTCCGGTCAGATTCCGACCTTGACCTGAGGTCAAATTTTTCAAGTTGACCGTTCAAAATCAGCTCTGCCGTCCAAAGGCAAAAACGCATATGTCGGGTCATGACCTGACCCGACATATGCGGTTTTGCCTTTGGACGGCAGAACTTGTATTTCATTCGATGCATCTCGATGAGAGACAAACGATTCTCGTAAAGTAATGTCGTGCAAGTTTTGAGTCGAAAGTTATTGCAGAAAAACGGTTTCCGCTAAGACGTCTATTTTGACAGCTTTTGCTCCCTGCAGGCTAAACATTGACCTTAGGTCAAATCTGAGCGTAGTGTACAGAAAGAGCTTTAAAATAGTATCGAATGCGCTTTTCCGCGGCGCTCTAGCTCTACCCATTCCTGAGCTATGCGCCTGTTTGTCTAAAATTGTCGAAGCTTGACCTGGAATTTGGCGAAATTTTACCTTCGATGACCTCGGGTGACCTGGCATTTGAACTGACATAAAAGAAGCGACTGAAGTAATTTTCATTATTTTTTCCGCTCTTTCGAACGCCGCTTACGGGGTGTCGCTACGTGGCCCAGGAGCCAAGTTAGAAGGGGGTGTTCAGTGTTCACCCCTCCCCCCCCCCCCCAGCAGGGGCGTGGAAATCCAGGACCCCCAGCCGGGGGCGCGGGTTACTGGAGCAGGTGCAGACGAGCCTTGTCTTACTGCGCGCTAGACATCGTTATTCAGACAACATAAAAAACACTAGCTCGAGTGCTGTGCTAACCCTCACTCCGCATTGAAGCCATAACACATGAGTGCATGCATAGTGTCCCTGCCCGTGCGCCAGTGTAACGGCCGTCGTCCGTTTGCAGCCCAGTTTTTCAGCGAGGTGGACTGCGCGATGGGTGGTCTGGTGTCGACCAGCTCGCTGCTCAGCCTGGTCTACTACATCCGGGAGACGACGCGCCGGCTGCAGGACATGCACAGCCGGACCGGACCGTGACCGTGACCGGACCGTGACCACGGACCGCGGACCGCGGACCGGACCGTGACCGTGGACCGGACCGGACCGTGACCGTGACCGTGGACCGGACCGGACCGGGTCCTGACCGGACCGTGACCGTGGACCGGGCTGGACCACGGACTGGGCTGGACCACGGACCGGGCTGGACCACGGACCGGGCTGTGACCGGACCGGACCGTGACCGTGGACCGGACCACGGACCGGACCGTGACCGTGGACCGGACCGGACCGTGACCGCGGACCGGACCGGACCACGGACTGGGCTTCGACCGCGGACCGGGCTGTGACCGCGGACTGGGCTGGACCACGGACCGTGCTGTGACCGCGGACCGGGCTGTGACCGCGGACCGGGCTGGACCGGACCGCAGACCGGGCTGTGACAGCGGACCGGCGGCCGTTGGCCAGGCCGGCCGGCCGGTGGCTGAGGGAGCATTGTGTGCCATGGCCAGTGGCCGCTCTTCCAGTGCTCGGCGCTCGGTTCGCTGTGAGTCTGAGCCGCTGGCGCCCGCAGCTGTGCGCTGTGAGGTCTGAGCCACCCGCAGCTCTGCGCTGTGAGGTCTGAGCCGCCCGCAGCTGTGAGCTCTGCGCTGTGAGCTCTGTGTGCGCTGTCTGGTGACTCGTGTGCGCCGGCTGCTCTGCTGTTTGCCGGGAGCCGGAGCAGCTCTGGCAGGGCCCGGCTGGCTGCGGCGGGGCCTCCAACCGAGGGCGCGCCCGGTCAGCGCGCCTGACTCGTCTTTCACCACCGTCGGCTCCTTAGGGGCGCAGTGTAATTGAATCAAAACCGCACGGCCTGCTAGCTCTGCCGTACGACTCCACAAAACATCTTTTCTCAACGTAAGTGCCATGATGTCTTTTATATTGTAACTGGCATTGAAAGTGCGAGACGATTTGACGAAGGGTGCCACTGCCGTGGGAGGTTTTATCTGACGACTGCCGGCGCTGCGGAGCTCTGTTATTTGGTGGGCGCCCGTCGGGTCTGCCCAGACTGGCCTCTGCAGTGATGGAATATCCCGGCGCGTTGTGGCAGCGCCCCTCAGCACTGTGTTTGTGGCGTCGGGGGCGCTGTTTGTTTCCCCGCGTGCGCACCATGTTTGTGTTGACTGACTGCGGTTCACTGCCCGTGCCATAGACGTGCTGTGATCCACAGCTGGCTCTTCTGGAAGCTCGAACCTCTGTGAAAGTGGCGTCTGTATTTATTTTTTTGGTGTGTGCGGCGCCGCACACCACTGAGGGTGGGTGCCCCCGCCCCGGCGGCGGGCCCGTATTTTTACACGGTTCATAACATATCCGTACGTCGAGTGTTTTACAGGCCCAGCTGCGGTGAGGCTGGGCACCATGTGAGCCCGCGGGCCGAGCAGCCCTTTATTACCAATATACACATTACACAGACAGGTGGCATGGAGCGGCTCTGGTGTTTGGTGCTGGTCGGGGGCTCGGTCTGAAGCCAGATACACAACCCCTTAATCTAAAAGTTAAAACACTTGATTTACTTTTGCCTGTAATCCCTCCACGGCATGGCCTACGGCTATTACTCTATGTAGAGGCATAGCCATCGCGAAAGACGGTACCGCGGAGGGGGGGGGGCTGATCCATTTATGTCGCAGGTCTGCGGTCCTGATCACTGCACCAAGGCGGCAGCGGCTGCAGCGTTCAATGACGTCGATATTGAAGCTAGCTTCAATAGATCATATAGCTTGTATAGCTCAGCATGTGACGTCATTGTGCCGTCACCCGAGAGATGGCGCTAGTTGGTCGTCCGATTCGTGTAATACACTTGGCGAAGACACGACGGGCGCGGGGAGGACGTGCAGTGGCACCCGGTCGCTGGATGGACTGACGGTGCGGTGACGCTGGGCAGTGACAGTGGGCTGTGACAGTGTGCGGTGACACTGGGCTGTGCAGTGTGCAGTGACAGTGGGCTGTGTACTGTGCAGTGACGCCGGACTGTGCACTGTGCAGTGACTCCGGGCTGTGCACTGTGCAGTGACTCCGGACTGTGCACTGTGCGGTGACGCTGGGCTGTGCAGTGACTCCGGGCTGTGAACTGTGCGCTGTGCAGTGACGCCGGGCGGCTGTGCAGTGTGCAGTGACAGTGGGCTGTGCAGTGTGCAGTGGCGCCGGGCTGTGCACTGTGCAGTGACAGTGGGCAGTGCACTGTGCAGTGACTCCGGACTGTGCACTGTGCAGTGACGCCGGGCTGTGCAGTGACAGTGGGCAGTGCACTGTGCAGTGACTCCGGGCTGTGCACTGTGCAGTGACTCCGGGCTGTGCAGTGTGCACTGTGCAGTGACGCCGGGCTGTGCACTGTGCAGTGACGCCGGGCTGTGCACTGTGCAGTGACGCCGGGCTGTGACAGTGGGCTGTGCAGTGTGCAGTGACGCCGGGCTGTGCACTGTGCAGTGACGCCGGGCTGTTTACTGCGGTGACGCTGGGCTGTGTACTGCGGTGACGCCGGGCTGTGCACCACTGTGCTGTAGTGACAGTGGGCTGTGCACTGTGCAGTGACGCCGGGCTGTGCAGTGTGCAGTGACGCCGGGCTGTGCACTGTGCAGTGACGCCGGGCTGTGCACTGCAGTGACGCCGGACGGCCAGGGTCAGGCGAGGACGGTACCGGCGGCGGCGCTCCAAGGCTGCAGTACACTTGTGTAGCGGTAGACGGCACTGTACGCTGGAAATTCGACCTCGCTGGTCGCTGGGTGGAGCCGTAAGATATGACGCTTGGTGAAGAATGCATAAGATTTGCAGGTTACCTATGGGTACCTACACGTCATTTAATCGCCGCCTCAAATGTTTATTGAACGGATATGCCGCTAGCCTAGCTAGGGTCATTCAAGTGCCGTATAATAACAGATCTTATTGAAATATGAAAAAAAAAGTTTCCGCAGGCGTCCGCCATCGCCCCGCTCTCCCGACAAACGACTTCAGCGACCAGCAATGACGCTCAGCCCTACCCAACACCGACCCTCGCTCAGCCTCGTACAGGGGCACCCGGCGGTACATGGGTACAGTGTCACCCGGCGGCACAGGGGTACAGGGGCACCCGGCGGTGAGGCCGGCCTGCAGGCTGGTCAACACCCATATAGGTACGGCGTACATACACTGCCGTGCAGCAGGTATGTACGGCCGAGCGTCGGCCGCCGTTACATTGTCAGCTACAGGCCCCCACGTGTTACGTCATGACCGGCCCAGGGGGTGGATAAGCAATTCGAAGCCTGACGGCGCGCAGCCGCACTCCGCATTTCCCTCTCTCCATGGTTTCCTGTCCGGTCACGTGACCTGGACTCCAGGAGCACTGTGCAGGTCACGTGACCGGCGTTTCAGTGACACTATCTCCAGCCGCCCCCCCCCCCCCCTTCCGTCTCAGCGGGAGCCCCCAGAGTGTGCCGGCGGCGTATTTGGAAATTCCGACCTCGACGAGCATCTGTGGTAGAAAACCACCCCTTTGGTAGGAGAAACTACTGCTGTCTGCTACCATTTGCACTACATGTGTCGCTATAGCTGCGACATCTATGCATATTTAATCGCGACGTGTGTGTGCGGTGGCCGGTGATTCTTGGGTGATTCTAGTTAGCGATTAGCTAGGGCAGCAGGGTGGATCCAGACTTTCAGTTTGAGGGTGGGCGGACTCTTGGCCGGCCCGATCCCCGGCAGTCAAAGTTGCTGAGCGGGGGCCCGGGGGGGGGGGAAGGAAGGTCCAATATAATGACCCAAAAGACATGCCTATATTGCCCATAGGTAAAGGCGCAAAGCACCGGGAGCGACACCAGCGGCCTGCCGACAGCGTGTCCCTGGTCATCGGGACGCTGAACGTACAGAGCGTCAAGCCCAAGCTTCTGGAGCTCTCCACCCTGCTCCATGGACACAATTATGACCTGATGTGCCTCACTGAGACGTGGCTGAGACCGACGACGCCGAACCGACTCGTGGTGCTGCCGGGATACCAGCTTCTCCGCGCAGACCAGTCCGACGGCAGGGGGATGCGGAGTCGTGGACATTCCAGACGGTTCCGACTCCGGCTCCGGCTCCGGGTGAAATGCCATGGCGGCTCCGGCTCCGGCTCCGGCTCCGAGTAAAATGTTCCGGCGGCTCCGGCTCCAATACTCAGTACATTTTAAATACCTACATACGGGTGGCAGAAAAAAGAAGATGGGATTGGTGCACGTTGCTTCTGCATTTGCATAACTTAAGGCTATTTTCATATTTTGAATACCGTATTTCTTACTGCCTGGAACCGTAAGTTCCAGGCAGTTCGGTTTGACAAACCGAACTAGGTCAATATTTGTTTCCTCTTCAAAAAAGGAGCCGGAGTCGCCCCCTTTTTTGACAGCTCCGGCTCTGGCTCCGGCTCCGAACTATATTGTTTCACAGCTTCGGCTCCGGCTCCGGGCAAAATATGCCGGCTCCGGCGGCTCCGGCTCCGGCTCCGCACCCCGGCCCTGCCTCAAACCGAAAGTCTGGATCCACCTTGGTGCCCTAGCTAATCGCTTACTATGTAGAATCAGCGCACACAGATGTCGTGGTTTACATGTATATGCATAGATGTCGCAGCGATAGCGACACATGCAGTGCAAATGGTAGCAGACAGCAGTAGTTTCCCCTACCAAAGTGGTGATTTTCTACCACAGACGCTCGTCAAGGTCGGAAATTCCAAATACGCGTGCCGGCGTCTGTTGCCGGGGTGGAGCCGCCCGCAGCGCGGCGGGCTGAGGCAGTGGGACGAGGAGAACGAGACTGAGACAGTGGGACGCGTCAGTGGTGAGACACGGCGGTGAGACACGGCGGTGGAGTGAGGAACAGGCGTGTGGAGCGGAACACAAGCCCGAGGTGAGTGGAGAACTGATGTGAAATTTGTCCTCAAGTGTCCCGGCGCGGCGTCGGGCTTTGAACCTCGGCCTGGGCGACAGCCAGTGCCACAGCCCGACCCGTTGCCCCGACTCACCGACAGCCAGTGCCACAGCCCGACCCGTTGCCCCGACTCACAGACTCAGTGCCACAGCCCGACCCGTTGCCCCGACTCACAGACTCAGTGCCACAGCCCGACCCGTTGCCCCGACTCACAGACTCAGTGCCACAGCCCGACCCGTTGCCCCGACTCACCGACAGCCAGTGCCACAGCCCGACCCGTTGCCCCGACTCACAGACTCAGTGCAGTGGACTGATCGGTGGACCGACTCGGTGGACCGACTCGGTGGACCGACTCGGTGGACCGACTCGGACTGATCGGTGGACCGACTCGGTGGACCGACTCGGTGGACCGACTCGGTGGACCGACTCGGTGGACCGACTCGGTGGACCGACTCGGTGGACCGACTCGGTGGACTGATCGGTGTGACCGACTCGGTGGACTGATCGGTGGACCGACTTGGTGCAGACGGGCATGATACGATCTGACACGGAATTACCCCCAAGCTATTAGCTCGGTTTAAGCCAGCAGCAGGGTTTCAGAATATGTTCCTCTGACAATCGCGCAGCTCTGCCACGGCAGCACTACTCCAGCGCTCGGTGTGTTTCAGGGTCAGCATGTGTGAGCTTGGCGCTGGTGCCGCCGACGTGCCGGCCGGCCGGGTCCGGCGCTCCAGCTCCGCCGCCGGCCTGCTGTCGCCGCCGGCCGACCCGGCCCGGTCAGCATCGCTGGACCGACGGGTCCGGCCCCAGGCGCCCGCCAGGTGGGCGTCCCTGCGCGACGGGTCCGCAGCGCGGCCGCCGCCGGTACCAGCTGCCCCGCCACCAGTGCCGCCGCACGCGCCTTGCCTGCGCCGGCCTCCTCCGCCGCCGGCTGTCGATCCGGCGGCCTACGCTCTGCCGGCGGCGCCGTCTGCCCGTCCAGCCGCCGGCAGCGGGGCCACCGGCGGCCGGCCGGCCCGGCCGCGCGGCCACGCCCGGTCGTGCTCGGCCACGGTGCCGCTGGGGCCGCTGCACCAGGCGGCCTCCGAGACAGGCGCGGGCCGGCCGCCGCGCTCCGAGTCGCTGGGCCGCCGGGGCGGCGACTCTCGCTCGGCGGGCGCCCCGGCCGGTCAGCCGCGCCCGCCGCCGGCGCCACTGCGCTCCGTCTCCGTGGTTCTGCCCCCACGCAGCAAGGCCTTCATGGGTGTGGTCAGGTCAGTTCAGAGGCTGAGGGCTCCGTCCGGGACGCTGGGGAGCTCGGGGATCAGTCCAGGACAGTGGGAGCTCGGCGATCAGTCCGGGACAGTGGGAGCTCGGGGATTAGTCCGGGACAGTGGGAGCTCGGCGAACAGTCCGGGACAGTGGGAGCTCGGGGATTAGTCCGGGACAGTGGGAGCTCGGCGAACAGTCCGGGACAGTGGGAGCTCGGGGATTAGTCCGGGCAGTGGGAGCTCGGGAATTAGTCCAGTACAGTGGGAGCTCGGGGATCAGTCCAGGACAGTGGGAGCTCGGGGATTAGTCCGGGCAGTGGGAGCTCGGGAATTAGTCCAGTAGGGGAGAGTGGGGCACATTCGTGCATGGGGCACATTCGTTTTCAGCAGTTTATGGGAACACGAGTGACTGCACGAGCTCAAGGTAAATTATGGAAATACATATGTCTATCATTGCCGCCCTTCGTTCACCGTAGAAGACAACACTGTACCTGCTGTCATGCTTGATAAAAACGCAAATTTGTAATATTCGTGAGCTTTCCAAACTTTTCTCATATCATCCATTTTCGTGATCCTGACTCGGAAATGTGGTTCAGCTTTTCAAAATTGGGGGTGAAGAAGCCCACTCTATTCACGGAACTGCTGCAAACTTGTTTGTTGAAAAAGTGTCATTTTTTCAAAAAGAAATTTTGAAATATATTACTAATAACGTTGTGGGGCAGGTTCGTGTACGCACTGCCTGGGGGCACATTCGTGCATATTTTTTTTTAGTTTTTGCGACTTATGACTTTATCTGTAGTAGGTTTCTCTAATGACGCTCGCCTGACTCAGTCTCGACTGCTTGCGACGTCGTGACGAGCAATTCACGCGAACTTGGCGAGGTCACGGAGGCCGGCAGTTGGCACATTCTTGTTGGCCAGCCCATTCTTTCTACATTTGTTGTGCAATGCATTCTTGTCGAAAGGAATCAAGTGAAATGACCCCCTGCCAATTTCCTTTGGTAAATTTCTGGTAATGCCCGGTAATTTCTCGAATTTTGCCGGGTGAACGGAAGTGCCCCATCTCTTGAACGAATGTGCCCCATAGGTGGGGCAGTTTCGTGCAAATGTTCAGAGTTAATAAAAGTCATTTTTTCTAATGGAAGCAATAATTTTATAGGATAACTTTTAAAGGGACCATCCCACCTTAACATTAGTTTTGAGTTGAGATAGCCAAGTTTGCGGCCAGGCTCAGAAACCACCATTTATCCTGGTCGCAACCCCCGCAGCTTTATGGTGTTCAAGAAATTTCTTCCCTTTACTTGCAGGGTGGGACCAGCTTAGTCCCTATCTCTTAACCATTAGCGGTTTCTTGATGACGTCAGCAGTCATTTCAACGCCCGCCATTCCTTGAACCCGAGTTTTGCTGACCTTGAGCTCCCTTTGTTATCAACGTGAAATCCGTGTCGTCGGCGCTGAGAAAGCCTATTGCTTTTCATTTTAATTTGAATATTAGAAGATACCCACCACTGGAACTTGGACTGATATTATACCAAGGCCGAAGATGATCAAGCTGCCTGCTATATCTGGAGCTTGGTGTTCAACTTCAACATGGAATAAAAAACAAAATATCAAAGCAAACTGGATATGGTACTCCAAGTTAAAGTCCAAAGAAATTTTGAAGAGCTGACAATTGACATTAATTCTTTTCCTGCAAGGTTTCCATATGGAGATCACACCATGAAGAAATATTTTTGATGTTAACAGTTGAAAGGGGATTGATCATCCAGTTTTGACGAAAGACGCTGCTGACTGTCTTTGGTAAAGGATGTCGGCATGAGGTGCAATTGTGCTTGTGAAGTGGTTATAACTGGTCTTTTCACAGTATTAAATTAAATGTGCCATTGCAGCCAAGTGTGTTATCATGTAAGGAAAAATCAAAACCACAATGTTGGTTTTACGAGCATTGAGAAGGCTGGTAGGTAACACCTGCCAGGCTGCCTGTGCTCGTAAATCATGCTGCCAAAGTTTTCTAAATTAATTTTATCATACACTTTTGTTATCCAGAATGGTTGCACTATTGTTTGGTATCATATTATTCCATGTAAATATGGTAGTGTAAAGTCCGACCAACATGTTACCAGATTTGAAGCTGTTACGTTACCTAAGTACCTGTTTTTTACTGGCGTGGTGAATGTCACCTGGATTTTGTTTTGAGGTGCAGACCTAGTAACTCTGACTACATGGGTTTGAAGCTATTATCTATTCTGTTTTTACTGGCCTGGTGAATGGCGACTGATGTTGTCCGTGGATGGCACTGAAACAAATTTTGAGTGTCATGTACAGTGTTTTAATACAATGCTGAGGGCTGAAAGTTGTCTTGTTTAGAGTGGTGAAAGTTCAGGATATGCCAGCCACCATGGTGGGTCAGAGTTAATGTGTTGCAGTCAGTTCGGCTTCGGCAAGCACACGGATGGGCATACGCATCAAGACCTGCTCTGCCATACTTTCAGCCAATTTTACCTAGGTAAGTCTTTTCTTTTTTTCTGCCAAAAGCTATGACATTGTGAATTTCAGTACTGTGGTCTGTGTGTAGCTTTCAGGAAAGCAATTCTAAATAAAGCTCTGATAAAGTGCAAAATCAGCAATGCAGCCCTCTATTACATTTTCTACAACATCTTACTTGTTCCTTGCATGGAGAGAAAAATGCAATGTTATGAATTCGTTTATTCACATAATTTGACAAGCATGCAGTTACCTGCTACTATCACTGCACAAAACAGCAGAAAACATCAGTTGATCAAACACAAGACACAACAGAAGTTTACAACATATAGGGCTGCCGAACCTGCTTCCTCCCACCACAGTTGATGCCATTTCCTAGCCTGGCTTGATGTGAGCACTGAATAGCTGCTTTGTCTAATTACAGCTCACTACCATTCAACTTAAACTACTCTCTTCAAAGTAAGAGTGAGAGCGTTCAGTGTTCATAGCAGCTCGACAGACGACAGACAACAAACATCTTGACAAACCAACCAGTATTTGATTTGGCTAATGATTTATGTGCTTGTTGTATCATGGCCAAACTACTTTAACAGCAATAATCCCTGTTTCATCTTGATCTTGCTTTTATTTCCATTTGAACTCAGATCTTGAAACAATCATCTGAAGTGATATCAGATACTGGCTTCCGTTTCTCTTGAAAGCAAGTTAAAACAACAATGATAAACTAAGGCAGGAGATGTGAGTTGTGGCAGTAGATTTTTGATTCAACATATGTAAACCTTATATCGCTTGAGACCTCTGTGACAGACAAACAAATATTTATAGTTTTTTGATAGTTTGGATTCTTGGCTTGATTTAGCAAATCAGCTGTGAACCTTGACTTTGAAATCACATAAATGTCATGGTACCCGAACAAATCCTCGCATGACATTTCTTCGTAGCACAATTTTTCGTCCGCATTTCTTCGTCTACAAATCTTCGTCGGTGCATTTATTTGTCCCTCAATGCTTACTCTTGCATATATTTGCGTTGAAGAAGAAATGCGAGCCGATTTTCATATACCCTGATGCGAGACAAAGTAATGCGATACGAATAAATGCCCTGACGAAGATTTGCAGACGAAGAATTGCGATACGAAGAAATGCCATAAGAAGAATTGTCCTGGAATCCTTCATTGGCCATCATATATTGACCTTGATAAGATAAACGCATCATTCGCGCAATATTTGTCGCACTTTGATACCAAACTATTGCTTCCAAATGCCGACGTAAAGAAAACCTTTATGTGACGTCATAGAAACAGCGGATTTCCCAAAAAGTAAACAAAAATAAAAGTCTTATATCTCGAAAACGGGTGAATATTTTCCGGTAAAATTTGGTAGATGTTCATTTTCGCTCTTTGTGATTCACGCTACATCACTTTTATGCCAATTCATTAACTTTTTTGAAGGTGGGAGGGTCCCTTTAAAGAGGAAAACTATCTGCAATAGTTCCTTTCCATACTACAATCAACAATTTTGCCATTGCACTAACCAAAGAACAGATATATGGGTTTATCCATTTTTTGCACGAATGTGCCCCACTCTCCCCTACAGTGGGAGCTCGGGGATCAGTCCAGGACAGTGGGAGCTCGGGGATTAGTCCGGGACAGTGGGAGCTCGGGGATTAGTCCGGGACAGTGGAGCTCGGGCCTCGGGGATTAGTCCGGGACAGTGGGATCTCGGGGATCAGTTCAGGGCCTCGGCTAACATGTTAACTACTCGGGCAAATTCCCCTATAGTTACAAGGAATGCCCCAGTCGCCAGTAATGATCAAATTTTGCCCAACTTCCACAGGGATAGTACTTAATTAACGCACATCGTCTCACTCGGGCGCGGTTGAAAACGTTTATGGCAAGAAACCAGGGCCGGCAGGAGAGGAGGTGCAGGGTGTGCAGCTGCACCCCAATCCAAAAAACATGGGTGCGAAAACATACCTTTTGCTTTTGCCACTCCCAAAGTTCGCAAGCTCTCCTTCAAGGAAGCCGTGAAACCACTGAATTCATTTAGCTATTTTTGAAAACAAGTGATCGGAAAACAAAAGCCGATGTGGGATCACCTAAAGTCCAGTATGACCAGATGCTCCCCACGCCAGTCTCTGGGGACCCGACCGACACCGGCTTTTAGGGCTTCACGCCGGGTTTGGTGCCCCATTCTGGCCCAGAAGGCAGGGCCTCTACAACGGACCATACAGACTACAACAGACTTTCTAAAAAGTTGGCTCAAAGATCGCACAGTTCAAATTCGAATGCTAAAACTGACGTGATTGTCGATTTTCACCATTCATGCACATTCGTCGATTTTCTTTTGTCACAATGTTACATATAACTGGACGAAGTAGGTATCTTTTGCAAACGATGTTTTCACTTCGGTTGCCTTTTATCCCACGAGCCGCTGGGGGGGGGGGCATTAAGTTGCCCCCTTTACGTTTTGTGAAATATCTCCGAAACCTGATGAGCTACGAACATGAAACTTGGCATAG